ACATCTAACACTTTCCTACTATTAGAAACATGGACAAAACTAAGACTATATGATTCAATAAAGTTATCTCTTTGCCCTGACCTAGAAATCTCAAATGTTGTGCTTATATGCAAAAACATTTATCATCCAGTGTTTTTTGATTTTCATGATATTCTGCTAACTTTAGATAGGATTTACTTTTTTTAAGGCTTTACTTAAAACACTGCAAAAAACACCAGTATTCAGGACCAGAAATAGAGTGAAACACATGAGGCACTGGGCTTACTCTGAAGCTATTGAAAATGCAGGGCTGGCTCCTGAGCCTGTGTCAGGTTTTGTACCCTGGCCACCTGGCCACCTTCTTCCTGCACTCTAACCCCAGCCCTACTTCCATCACCTAAGAGTGAGCAGTACAACTACTGACTCACAAGGCTCACCCTTCCTTATGTCTCCAGCTTTGACTCCTATTTTACCAGTAGTCCACTTCCTTCTCTATTCCATGCCTGAGATTCCCAAATCAGAATGAGTTTCAGAACCACCTGGAGGCCTAGTTAAAGGACTGCTGGGTTTTGTTCCCAGAGATTTTGATTCAAGAAGTCTAAAATGGGAGCCAAGAATTTGTAGTCTTAACAATTTCCAGCTGTGGTTTGTCCAGGGGCCGCATTTTGAAAATCAAATTGCTTGGAGCCCTGTAATAAATAGTTTGGGGCTGGTCCCACGCACTACATTATTTTATACTGCTTTGTGTCCACACATTACTTCTTCCTTCTCATTTGGTAACAGTCACTCCAGTCTTCTATTAAAGCTTCACCTCTGCCCAGTCTCAGGGTCACCCCACCCGTCTGCATGGCCCAGCAGAGTCTCACTAGACCTATGAATACTCCCTCATTCTGTTTCTCATCTTCCCAACTAACTTGTTGGTTCTAACCAATATACTTCATCTCTTCCTTCAAGGACATATCCCTACTGTAAGACTCTACTCTATGAGAGATTTCTAAGAAAGACTGACTTTAATGTGACTCAGAAGAGAGATCTGATGAAATGTCTAGGACTATAGTGTCACTGTCCATCTGGCCTGGAGCACACATAAGTTTGAAGGGTTCCACTAGATTGACAGCCTGATCCAAGTTTGACTACAGCTTCCAGAAAAGAAGAAAAGCCCCAAGAGGTCATTTTGCCCAGGCTAACATTGGCCTACCCATCATAACAAGGCAGTAGAAGGATCAGGGTTAAGACACTCAGCAGTAGGTCAGTGTAAGACCACATCTAGAGAGACAGATTCATAGAATACAGTATACTGGAATGAGGGTCTAGCTCAATGATAGAGTGTGTGCTTCACATGTACACAGTCTTGGGTCCAATTCCCAGCACCAAATATATACATATAATACACACACACACATACACACATATATAAAGAGAGAGATAGATGATAGAGCTCCATGATAAATAATAGAATACATAATATAGAGACATTGAACAACTAGATAGGTACATTTGATTAGCTATATTAGATCACAGATAAATAAACAGAACACTCAGGGATAGGTATGTAAGCATAAAAATATATGTGGCTATTTGAATATATAATTCTCCAGTCCTGTGAATTTAAGCAAGAAAGTGATAAAGCTTAAAAATGTCATTATGGGTGGACATTTGGGTTCAGTTAAGAAGGTGTGAAAATGAAAATAAACATAGCAAACATACAAAAGTACTCTATTCACTGGTAAAGTATCTAGGCAAAAATCCCTTCCCTTTAGCTCCTGAAATGGATCATGCTTCCTCTTGTAAAAAAGGTTTGATTGTACTACTTCATGACCTACACAGAAATAAGGAATGTGAGTTCTATTGGAGAAGAGGTGCAGTGAGAGGTGTTTATCTGGAAAGTGGACAATGAGACATTCATCTGGATGTGAGTAACTCCTTTTCAACCCCAAACTACATGACTAGACAAAGCAATCATAAAACTTCCTCCTGATTCTCACCTGTGCTCTGGTCACAAAGCAGCTCATTAAAAATGATAGATAGATAGATAGATAGATAGATAGATAGATAGATAGATAGATAAGAGATAGATAGATAGATAGATAGATAGATAGATAGATAGATGACAGACAGATGAATAGAGTGAGCTTCCCTTAAAATTCCTTGATTGTCCTCCTCTTTTAATTTGCATTCACCCACATCAAACAAACCTTGTGCCTATTCCTATCACTGTATGGAATCAGCTGGAGACCAGCCAGCTGGGACCTAGAAAATGTAGACTGAAGAATTAAAGAGGCATGTGTACAGATGTAGTATATCTACAGATCCAAATGATGGTAGGGGTGTGTGTGTGTGTGTGTGTGTGTGTGTGTGTGTGTCTATACATGTGTGCTATAGATGTAAGGTTTCTGAACCCAATCAGTGATTTCTCAACTTAATTTTTAAAACTGCCTTTTCCCTTCTCCCATTCCACTGTTTCACATGAGAAGCAATTGCTGTTGTCATCTCTATTAATGTTACAAACATCAGAACAGAGAGAAGGAAGACTTGGAAATAGTCGTGGTCACACCTAATATAAAATAAAGATATAAAGACAAGTATATATTGATCCAGTTCATCCTAAATCAGATTCCTAATTCTCACTACTAAGTCAAATTCCTAATTCTTAATTAAATGTTCATTATAAAATGCTCTTGAGCAGAACCTAAACCTAGTTGTAAAAGGACACCTGTATGTATTTGCTATATTGAAATTTAAGGTAGAATAATAAGAAAACAGATAAAAAAAAGAGAGTCCACAAGATTATACCATGCAGGAACACTTGGGATAACACAAAATTGTAAAGTTATGAGGAAGAAGCAATTATGTAAATAAGGTTATAAGAAACTGAGGTGACAAGTTATTATTTTACAGATAGTAAATAATGTTAGAACTAGGAATTTTTTATAAGGATAGCTAACCAATCTCTGTGTCAGATATTACCTAATGTCAAATGTAATATGGAAATCCTAAAAAAGAACACTACCTTAAAAATACCAAAAGGCAGGTTGCCAGGGTATTTTAGCCACTTTTGCATAATTCCGATCACAGTGTCTATTGAGTTTCCATGGGACTCATTATCATAAGCCAAATTAGAAGTTATCTCACTTTTGCCTTTAAAAACTACATGCTTTCAGAAGCAGAAAATTCAACATAAGTCCTCACTGATCTGTAGCTTGCATGTCTCAAATAAGATCACGGATACCTTTCAGGGAACTTTACTCATCTCCAAGCTTACTATCTACTTGGTTTGGGAATTTATTATATTCCTGAGCCCAGTATTCTGAAGTCAAAATTCCAGAAACTACCATGACTGAGGTAAAAACAAAACAAAAAAGATATCAGCTCAGTTTCAAGACCAACTCTGCACTCTGCAGTATATATATACTGCTCTCTGGATCCTCTGTTCCCTTCATATTTTTGATATCCTTATCTAAGCCGTCAACATTTTTTTCTATCCCTCTTCATTCCTTTGGCCATTCTTCCATAACCTCTCCTATCCTCCCTAGACTCCAATATTCCCCAAGCTCACAATTTTTCTTTCTAGTCTTTATGTTCTTCCACAAACTGCCAGTGCTCTTCCACAGACCAAAGCCCCCTAACTAAAGATGGTTATTGATGTACAGTACCAGTGTTTTAGTGCAGCAGCAGAATCAATAAAGGAGAAAATACTGCTTTGTCAGGTTTTACCAAAGCATCCTGGGAAAGTTTACTGCTTTGGGTGGTTACAGAAACTCTTAATACAGGAGAGCGAGAGCTGGGCTCCCTTCTGTGGTGAGAAATGAAGTTCTTCTACCCTCTAGTGACTGTAAAGGAATAAGGCAAAAGTTGGAGGAATTTTTGAGACAGTCACATAGCTATTTATTGTCTCCTAGTTGTATTTCTAAAAGGAACCAGAATCTTAGGAATCAAGTGAACTGCTAAAATAACAAAACAGCAAAGCACTGTCCTTTTAAAACATTTAAGTGAAAAGCATATCCATTTAATGACTATGGATCCCTTGGATTCCCAAAAGCAAAATAGATTATAATTCCCCTATCATTGCCTCTAGTTCTTTCTCTTCCTCCGTTTGGTACTCCCTCTCCCCACCCCCATACACATACCACACAATCTTTGATCTGGAAATGTTCCACTTTCAAACTCTTTATTTTACAAAATAGACAACTTATGAACAGAGAGGCTAGAAAGCATAGCAGGCACAGGTGTGCCACACGTATATGTATGTGCATACGTGCACACAAAGCAATTGCATAGACTCTGCCACACAAATGCCATCCCCACCACCCTTCAGAAACTGAATTGGAAATCTTGCATCATTTAATAGGAATTATTTCTGTTAATTATTTCTCTTTAAGAAGTAGTAGAGCTACTAAATTAAGTAGAAATACTTCCAGGTTTTGTGTATGTTTATGATTAATTTTCACATTTAGTCACCTAGGTTATAATTTGCTAGATAAATAATGATAAATTTTAAGAATATACTCCTACCTTACCTATGTTTTTATAAATTAGACAATACTCTATAATTGCTTAAAAATACTAACAATGTAAAATAATCATTACCTTATGAAGAAATCTTTAAAGAAATTCTTACTCAAAGAATAATAGCATTTTTTCAGAACATATAAAGAGATGTATTTAAATATAACCACATATTACTTTATAACCACATATTATTTTCATTCAACTTTACATTTTCCCTATAATATCTAAAGGAAAATAACTTCCTAAAGGACCAACTCTAACCATGTTGTGTTTTCAGTAATTCATGCTGAATGAAGTATAAAATTCTAATGTGGCTGGAAACATCTAGCCAAGCCCTTACTTAATGAAATTTAAGAGAAAGGTTGTTCCTTGCTTATTCAATACAGTATTAAGAGACAAATAAAGCTGTTACGAGTAAAAGTTGGGTGAAATTAATTATATACACATTTGTATTTGCTACAAACATGAAGTTTTAGCCAAATGATTTAAAGAAAAAAAACAAATATATTCACCTTGCTGGCACTCAACCGTTTCCGATTTGACCAACGCTAAGGATTGTACCCGTTGCATAGTGTGAAGATGGCAAAATGAAGCAAGAGAGAAATAAAATCATTAATAAAGTAATTACTTTATATAGTGCATCATATACTCTTAAGATTGACACCTAAATTCTGAAGCTGGAAAAGCACATTTAAGCAAGAAAAGTAGAAACAAGGAAGCAAATCACATTTGTGTGGCTGTGTTACATCATTTCCCCACGTATTTAGTATAAAAAACAATAGCAGATAAATTCTACTCGATTCCTAAGAGTACATTTATTTTTAAATTACCTTGAAATAGTATAATCTTATCTCTTGAAAAAGAAGAAGTCAGGTTTTTTCTTTTTGAAAGAGGTGGTGTTGTAAAAATGTTTATGAAGTTTGTGGTCAATGTCAGTTTATAGTTAGGTTTCCATAGCTTGAGATAACAAAACATAATTCCATTTACTTTTGTAAGGTAAGTCTCAATATTCAAAAACACAAGAAACAATCTGCAATCATTATTGCCCAATTAAGAAAAGTACTGTCTGAGGAAGAAAACAATTTTGAACAGCGAGAAACTTTACCTTGTCCTCTTCTGGCCTCTCATTTGACTTGCTGAACCTGCTGAATTTCATTCAACAATTAAAACTTTCCCTGAGTAAAATTCTTTCCTTACTCTGGTAACTGTCAACTACAGCAAAGTTCTACTCTGATGGTTAATCAGCTAACTGATTGTTAAATCTTGGATAAATTTGGGGTATTTCAATTTAATTATGAACCTAATCGATCAGACCACATTTACTATTATGCTTAAAGAAAAAAAATGCATAGAGATAAGTGACCTGTCCACTTGCCAATAGGTCTTCCCAATAAATGAGAATCCAGAAAATACTCCTTAGGGGAAAATCTACTTACATTCCATTGACCAGAAACTAGAAACATTGATACAGGAAGAACTTAAAAATATTCCTCATCAATAACACTTCCCCAAGAGAAATTACAAGTTCAACATTCAACAATGACACAAGAGTTACAGGTACTACAACCAGAGTATTAAAATCAGTTTTCCAGTGTTTTCTCAACACCGTATCATATACATTCACCCAATCCAACCACCAAAATTAATTACCATCTCATAGGAGCTTAGAGCTATTTAGATCCCTTCAATATATAACAATTTATTTGATTTTTATAGCAATCATAAAAGATAAACAAGATAGATAAGAATATTAATAGAAAATGACTATTATCCTTCACTTACTGCAATGCTACAACTCCTATAGTGAATGTTTCCATCCTAGGCCAAGTACTATACTTGCTAATATCAATCTTCATGGCCCTATAAAATGGATACTCTTCTTATCCTCATTTCCCATGTGAAGAAACTATACTCAAAGAGATTAAATAATTCCATGAAGTTGACTGAGCATTGGTGGAACTGGTTCCAAAAACAGTCTGATGGCAGAGCCCATAATTTTAATTATAATTCTTTTTTTTTTTCAAGAAAAAGAAAGTGCATATTTGTTAGCCTTCCAGCTAGGGTTTTACCTTCTGGCTGCACCATGCTCCCATAGTTAATTTCCCAGACATGAGGAGAAAACCAGAGACATGTTAAGAGTTTTTTGCCAGCTTGGATCTGAAACAACCAAAATTACCTCAACAATGATAGGAAGAAAAATAGGTACAAAACTGAGAATCCAAACTGTATTTGTCCATCAAAGTTTAAATTTAAATGGAAATTTAAAAACAAATTACCATATCCAAAAATCTATTGTCCTTCAATCTCAAGTGCTAGTCATTCCCTCTTAAAAATCTAATAGAAAAAAAGCCTTTAAATACTAACTTAAACTCAGTGAAAAGAACAAATGTTTTTGCATATCTATTAGACACAAAGGGCCCTGTTAGTAGAAAAACCACATATGGCTTAGAATAAATTATTCCTCCATTAATTACTCTTTATATTTTTATCAAGGGCATAAAAAGATAATTACCAATCACAATGAATGAGAACAGGCAGAGTTTTCTATATTATGATATTTCTATAAGAATATATAAAATGTATTATACACTAAATCTTTCCCAAAGAATAAGAAAGCTCATGAGTGAGCAGATAGTTTGACAAACTCTTCAACCAGAAGATGATGTAGGGGAGAGTCAAATGTAAGATGGCCAAACTAAGTAAGACGAGAACTATGGAATCTCTTGGGCATTTTACAAAATATTCTTTGAGTTATTTACAAAAACCAATTCAAGCTGTGTCTTGCCATTACTTGCTCTGCAACATGAAATCACTTGAAACTAAAATGCCATTACTTCAAAACCCCAAGTTCTTGTAATATTTGAATGTATTTTAAATGCCAATATTACTGGTAAACATAATCCAATATACTATAGAAAAATTGGCAATGGTAATCATTTGAATATGCAGCTATTTATATGGGAAATCATCCAATGTTACAAAAGTTACTTAAATATATAAGAAATATTTACAATAGATTGGTTGGCAAGTGCTCAACCATGTAGCAAATGACACTTAGATACATCACGTACTATGTTGACAGGGTATCAAGTAACTGGTCACCTGCTGTATGAATTGACATTGAATGCAGAAGCAATACTGTCAGCTACAAAAAAGCTTGCCTTGACTATGTGGAAAATGAAAAAAACTGTTTACTTACAACATCAATTTAAGAATTTTAACATCAAAATAACTGCTTCATTGAGGCCCCCAATATGAACAGTACCACTCTTTTTGAGAGCAATCAGTAGTTTAATTGTTATTGTGAAGTCAATTCTCATACAAAATGAATTCAAATTAAAAAGAGCAAACATTCAGTTGACACTAAAAAGTTACAATCCAGTTATCCAACTTTCAGTGACCTTCTCTGCAATTACTAGTAAAGCAGTCATGATTTCCATCATGAAATAAATTACAACTCAAAGTCCAGGCAATGTAAAAAATAAGATTGTCCTTGTCCATGCCTCAATTCAAGAAGCATTATTACAGGCCTAATTTATAAGCAGATACAGTTTTTTCACTGGATTCCACACATGTTAAATTATAACGTATCTCGTTCTTTCTCAAGCAGATACTTTACTAGGTTTTAAAACACCTTAAGTTATCACCAAGTGCATTTTATTCTCATTTTAATTTGTAGAATTATAATGTATAATTCCTGACTGTAAAATGAGATTATATCAATGTATTTGTTCATAAGAACAGAGCCTTGATCATATCTTGACAAAATTTAACACTTTGATATTATAGACATCTCCAGTAGGCAGTGTATAAATGAGAAATTTCCATGTATAGAGAGAACATTAAAATTTGTATCTTCTCAAAAGCATCCTATGGAAAGCTTGGTAGGTAAAAGTAAAGAAAGAAGACAGAATAAAAAAGCTGCAAATAACTTGCAATACAATAATTAAATCCTGGGAATTGCTTCTTATAACAATACACCTAAGTCATCTGGGACATGGCATAAAAGTTTTAGTAACAGCAGTACTAGCCATATCACTAGGTGAAATAGAGATAATTCCTTATCAGATTTTCTTGACAGTGTTTCAAAAGAGAAACTGTATACAACCCCAGATAGGTACCCTAAGTCTATGAAAATATCTGCCTTACCCTAAAAATAATTATAAAAATGTCAGTTATCAGCTAGCCCAGTAATCAGAGGATAGAGACAAAAGAGTCACACTTACATGTCTCTTGAAATCACCCTGCTTGACAACTAAATTCAAATTTAACACAATCACTCCCATGTCATCTTCTAAACTGTTTGGATCTTCTAGTTTTAAAACATGTTCGGTGGTTCTGCAAAGCAAAAAAACAAATAATCTTAACATTTATTGGCAATGTTGTCTGGTCTTACAGTGCATCAGAGGCTTATGGTCAATGTCTCCTACCTCTGGATAAGGATTAGACACAATGCTAAAACAAATGACCAAGTGTAGTGCAAAGAAATCAACCATTTTCAGGATAGACAAAAATTGTTCAGCATTGTCTAATTCAACAGTTGGTTAACTGCCTACCACTCAAATAAAATTTAAATATTTGTTTTAAGTTAGATTAATGGATCTGAATTTTTAACAATGACAGTACAAAATCCAGTGTGCAGTTTAGAGTGCATGACAAAAGCTTTAATGTCTGACTAATGTATTTGGCAACTAAAAAGCAAAAAAAAAAAAAAAAACCTCTTAGAAAATATAATAAATTTTAAAGTTCTAAGAAATATTGCAAGCACCTTTGGTAAATGTCAAAATATACCTCCAGTACAATAATATGATAATAAAAAAATAAAGTTCCAGTATTCATTTGCATATCTGTATATAGATTTGTTATTTGATGTCAACAAGCACAATTGAAAATCATCTTGAGTTCTCTCTAAAATTCATTAATAACCATTAAAAGGTAAAAATACCTGTTAAGCTCAAGATCGCTGAGAGTGACAAATGAAGAGCCCATGAAATCAGATGTGGTTAAATCTCGATCATACACCTACAAAAAGCACAGGGGCCAGTAACAAATGTGAATGTGACAAACCAACCAAGTATATAAAAATATTCAAAAGTGAAATAGGCCAGGAATTTTGAAATCTGTCTCTCAGATCTTGTAGTAATCTGCATAGTGCAGTAAAACAGAAATTTAGCCAAGCCTAAAGAGAGAATAAACTTACCCTACCTTGCCAAAACAATAGTCAAAAATTCTCTTAATGCAGTATTCATATGCAGTAAAATGTCATGCACAACAGACCACTCTCTGTAGTTTAAATTAAATGGTCTCTCATTAAAATTTTCTATGGTGAGTAGATCTAGCTATTAAATAGAAATTTGCTAAATTTTCTACAGCAATCCCGTTCTGCAGTTGACTCACGCAGTTTTAACCCAGATGTTGGAGCAATTGATGCTTATACCTGATAGCTTGAAGCTCTATTAAGTATAAAGTTATTCTTCATGAGAAAGATTTTTGTACTTATCACTACTGTACAGTAATAATTCTTCCACATTCAGTAAGTCTAAATACAGTCAGTGGAGAGATTATTTCACTCAGCATAACTTATTGATTTGAGAGAAACATACAGTTTTCATTAATTGTAAAGAATCCCTTCTATATTATTGGTATTTTTTAAATAGTCCTTGAGAATAATAGAAGAATTGTGGTAAGCTCACCTTAAAGAGTTCATGAGAAACTGTGGAGAAAAAGATTGTTCTAACAAAGATTTGAACGTCATCTGTGATTACCTTCACACGTAGCTTTTGATCAAGGCTTTGTATTGGCAATACAACGATCTCATCCCAAACTGGATTCAAATTCTTATATATGACTTTACTTTTGTACAGTGTCTTCCCATTCAGCTTAAATTTCACATAAGGATCACTTGTGCCTTTAAAAGAAAAAAGAACAAGACAAAAATTTAAAAATACACATAGACATCTCAAATCTCCATTAAGTAAAGATTCCTCTCATAGACCCCAGGCTCAAAACACTCCACTGAGAACACCCAGAATAAACATCTCCCTGCCAAAGTCCCAGTGGTGGAGAAGAGAAAAATGAAGCAATATGGGGTAAATAACAAATTCCTTTTTGGCTTTAGTGGTATGGGGGCTTTGATCTTTTTTTTTTTTTTTTTGGTTGGTTTCATTGTCACCTTTCCACTACTCACAAAAATTCAAGAAATCAAGTCAGTGTTAGAAGTCCTGGGGAGAAGCCCATCCCTCCAAGAAACAGCAGCAAGACCATGAAAAACGAAAAGCAGGCATTTTCAAACATTTTACAGATGGCTAGTTCAACAGAACACTATACTTTAAAATACAATCACAATACATAAATCAACCTCTGGAGCCCTGGCTCAAAAGATGGGGCAGTAGGACTCAGACTGGAACTGGAGAGGGGGGGAACATAGAGATTAAATCAAGAGAGTAGTCATTCTTTGCTGCCTCCCTGCACCTGCACCACAGCAGTACACATTTTTTCTCCAGGGCCAGCTGAACTCCACATCAGCCAGGCCCTCAGCTGGCCTCAGAGCTGACACCACTGACCTGCCTGGCTCCTCCTGGGGTGCTTTGAAATGGACGCCAAAGGGAATGAATAATATCCCTCCAGCCACTATCCCCGAAGCAGAAAAGGGCTGATGGCAGATCCTCCTCCACGTTTTTTCAGATCAATTGAGGGGAAAAAAGGCTGCAAATATAATGCTTGGATTATGTATTGTTCCTGGGTGTTACACACATGTGTGCGTCACCTTACAGGCCTGCAATGCACTTGCCCATCACTACCTGGTGAATGTGAGCAAAAAAGGCATGGATGAATGAATCGTCAATGAGGGAACAATGAAGCTTGCTGACAATGTTACCAAGAAAAAAAATTTCTAATTGTGGGAGGAGTGACAGCACAGTTATTTTGAAATATAGCACTATGAATAGGTATATGAGAGCCCATAGTCTATTTTGCTCACTGATCTACAAGTGTCTTGGGCAGTGTCCAAGATAGGCCCCCCAAAATATTTTTTTGACATGAATTTATTTTACAGTCAAGTCATCACCTAAGAATATTATGTCAAAACTCATAAAGCTACTTTGCCTCAACATTTCCCAAAGAGTTAACACCCATCTTCCATTACTTGAATAGCTTACTTTTTCAGATTCTTTCTTATGTTACTATTTAACTCTAAAAATCAGTACTAAAAAATACTGGAAATAAATGCAATATATTTTCCAACTATTTGAGTTGAAAGAAGCATCAAAATATAATACTCATTGTTTGAAAGTCTAAACAGATTCAGAAACATTGTGCCACAGTTTTGATAAGTGAGCCTTCCAGCAGTGCAAGGACACTACCTTAAAACCACTGCATTAAATAAGTTACCAAGGAACACATGCACAAATTCAATGCCCACATTTTTAAGTTTAGAGGATAGTGGTAGAGGGCCAGTACTCATTATTTGAGGCTTAGATGGACACACACGCACACACGCACACACACACCATGTTGAGCAGTGGTTGTGTAAAAATAAATTCATTCACAGCCACTCAGTGGAATTCTCAGTAGTGAGTGAGCAATCTACCCACCACCTCCCGTTAACAGCACAAGAGAACACCTGGCTAGTCAGACTTTAACAATCATTCTGATATATATATAAAAAAAAAGTAGGGGAAAACTATAATAAAAAGAGGCCTTTAATTAAATGAAACTGCCACTCTGGGATCAGGCCTTCATGCTTGTCAGCGTACTCTCAAAATAAACATCTCAAAACTCAGCCTCTGTGGTGTCACTTTCTCACTGGCAAGGCATACTGGGTAATCCCCAGGCATTTTGACAGCTACATAATGTTCAAACTGTTTCACGGGTGAATGGCGGCAGTTGCATGAAAGAAAATATTAATGTCTGGAATTAATAGAAAAAAGGACCAGGGTTTACAAAGCCAAACAAGGAGGGAGGGTGTCAAGTTAGTGCAGCGTTAATTGTTAGGGAAAATTTGAGAAAGGGAGGGAGCTCTTGGTGGTTTTCTCTCTGAGCCTAAGTGCCTCACTGTCAGGGAAGTGACATCTCAACTAGGCAGTTTCTGAAAAGGGGTCGGCTGCTCAAGAATGCAACCCCCAGATTATACAAATGATGAGATGACACCTGAATGGATGGACTTTAACCTTGTTCTTGAGGGCTTTTTTGCACAATGAGACTGTTGTGGTAGCTCTTACTCAGGATAGAGAAGCAAAAAGCCCAGAGATGGAGTGTCTGTCCTGGGGCAGCCCCCAAGTCTGCCATTGTGGACCTGGTGGAGTCACAGAACCTCAAACTCATAATCTCAAGGTGTTAAGAATTCATAATCTGAGTGCTTTGGCCTATTCTAGGTACAGGGGTATCCAAGGCTTCCATATTGGCAAGTTCAATCAACCATGATGGAAAATACTTTTTAAATGTGCCTATACTAAATAAGCAGCCTTTTTTCCATTTCATTATTCTCTAAACAATATACTATATTAGCTATTTACATAGTATTTTCTTTGTGTTGGGTATTATAAGCAATTTACAGATGCTTTAAAGTATATACAGGATGTATATAGGCTAAAGATAATTTATAAAACGTTGTATATACAAAGGAGTCGATACATGATATTTTGTACAAGGGACTTAAACATCTGTGAGTTTGGATATCCACAGAGGTTCTGGAACCCATCCCTTGCAAATATCCAGGGATGATTGTTTATGTTGAGAGAAAGTAGCAGTCACTGGTCCTGTAAAATTGCTGTACCATTTATTACAAGCACATATTACTGTTCCTGTTCTTGCTTATGTCTTGACATTATGGCTGTCATGTCTTCCATGACACCACACCTATCAGGCATGAGAACATGCCATCAACACTCTGGTCACTTTCAAGCCTTGTTCAGTGCTAGGCACACTAGGGGTTACTGAGATGAGTCACTCGCAGACCTGGTCTTCTGCATCTGACAGCAGCAGGCAAACGTAACATAGTACAAAGTGTCAGATGGAAGGGACCACACAGACCAAACTAGGTCACATGTTATAATGATTGATAGTGAGAGAGGTTAATTCTACCTCAGGTATCAGTGAGGTCTGAAATCAAGGAGATAGGAGTTGAAATAAGACTGGGTCCAAATGTGCAGAGAAGAACTGAGGTGACTCAAGTAGGAGATGACATTAGTACTGAAAAGGAGGAGGGGAGAAGACCCAAAATGACTAGAGTGGTGTGGTACCAAGTTAGCATTCCAAGTGATCTAGAAATTAAAGGGGAAAAATATAACAAGAAACCAATTATAACAGGCTGTTTTGAGACAGAGGCCTAATGTCCTAAAGAAACAAAAGAGGAAGTTGAGTTACGATTCTGTAAGAAATGCAGGTGCTTTATTTCATGTTTGGCTTCTGATAAATTTTAGCAAAAGTAATATAGGCACACAATTCTGAAAGTCTATAGCTTTTTACTCTTTTATAAACAATTTATTAGTGTTCATTAATAGTAAAAGGGGTTTCATTTTGATAATTCCATAATTGCGTACAGTATACTCTGAACAAGTTTGTCCCCTTTATTACTTTCCTTTAACCTCCTTCCTCTTTCCCTTCCCTGCTTTTTCAAACAGTATTTGGTGGGTTTCATTAGGCTGCTTTCATAGGTGTGTACAGGGTGTGTGTACTTCAATTCACTTTACACCTTTCCCAGTGCCCTCTTCCCCATCCTGCCAATCTCCCTACCAGACAGTCCCCCTTTTAAACTCATTTGCACTCATGTACCAGTATTATTACCATTTTATGTCTAGAACCATTCCTAGATACCCTGATCCCATTTGTCTGATGTACTCACCACAAACAGATTCTTGAGTGTTTTAAAGAAACTAAACATAACAACAACACAAGGGTTATTTTTAAGTGACTCCATGCTTTCACAAGTTATGTAACGTGGTATTCTGTTCACACAAGCAGTACAGATCCAACTGTGTTATTTCCCAACTAAATAAATTTTCATTGTATTCTATCAATGTACTTAACTAGCTACTAAATAATGGACATATTTACATCACTTCCATTTTTTTTACCAGCACAAACAATTTTCTTATCAGTTCAACTTAAGAGTTCATAAGTGATGACAATCAGAAGAAATTCTGAACCCTTGAACTGCTAAGAAAATGAAAGCCCTTTTTGGTTCAGACAGATATTGTTAAATTGTTTTCCAAAGTTTAACAAATTTACATTCCCACAAAAAGCAAACTTTTTGGCTTTCTTACATGTTCACCAACCCTGGATACTATAAATCTTTATTATAAACTTATGTCAGGTAAAAAAATGGTATCTCTATTTTTAAACAATTTCAACATTCTTCATATTTTAGTGACTTCTATTTGTATTTCTGCCAGTGAAATTTATGTTCTTATCATTTGACTATATTTCAATTGACTCATAGTTTTTTCTTTGGCTTATAGATTGGAATGAGTCCTTCATTACGGAAATTAGCCATTGACTATAAATCTTGTCATTATTTATTTAGACTTATGCTATTACTGACAATACATTGTTTTAAATTTTTATTTATCCAAGTTTATCAAAGATTTACTTTTGGCATTGTAATTTAATGTCCTTAGGAACAATTTTCTCACTACAAGATTTTAAATTAATTTAGCCACGTTTCTTTCCACTGATTTGTACTTTTTCTTTTTCTTTTTTTACACTTAACTCTTTGGTCCATCTGGAACTATTTTAGTATGAAAAGGGAAGGAAATCCATGATCATTCATGAGTAGGAGAGTAAAATGATCAGAGGAAGATTTAGAAATATAAATCTGACAGCAGCTTATCATTTAGAATGAAAAAGAAAGGCAATAGAGCAAGGAAATCTGGTAGCGGAGATAATAAAACAGCAGAGACTTAAGGATTG